GGAGATCTACATTTTCTGCCATTCAATGCCTCGAAAGGCGCCATGCCAATACTCGAGTGATGCCTAGAATGGAATGAGGATGCAAAGATGTACTTTAAAAGCATTTTCAGATTGTTCAGAAAACAGGGGTCACGCTCGAGCGTATGTCACTCCGCTCCGCTCGAGCGGACATGCAGACAAAAGTACCCGCTCGAGCGGTAAATCCCTCGCTCGAGCGTACTGCAAAAGTACTGGATGGCAGCAAACAAGTATAGACCAAATCGCCTAAATTGGAACAAAACATTGCATGTTTGTTTTGAAAATGGTTTGCTACTCGCAAGTAGGTTAATATGCAAGTTTTGCCACCCTCAAGTGGGCTTTAGAAAAGATGGTTTTGCCACTATCTAGTGGGCTTAAAACTCACAGTTTTAATACATTATTCCAATTTAGGTAATTCAACCTCCACCCACAGGCATTCAAGCAGTTAAGCAGCTTGCCTCATGGTAATCATGCTATTATAGCAACACTCACACGCATGCGGTATGCTAAAGCATAAATGCTTACCGAGTACTCCAAGCCAGAACAGAAGCTAGTTAGTAATCATGTGCATGATCCTAGTTCATGTTGAGATGGCTAATGCAACACATGCAAAATACAACTACAATAGGCTCGGCTATCCTAAAGATGGCATGTGAAAATGCTGCAACTAACACGTATTCAACTTGGAATTGAAATACAATGCAGTTAGTATGATGTGCCGAGCCCGGTGCATGCAAGACAAATGTATGGATGCACGCATGCATAGCATAAGGTATGCTAAATCAAATATGACCTAATACTAACCATCAAAAGCAGATAAGCAAAAGGGAGAAAGAAGTGGGGGTTGGAAGACATGCACACACGCACCCACACTTATTACAAGTTAGCCCTCACTCGGAGGGACCGAAAGAATAATACAATTTAACTAACTAACAAGCTAATTAAATATTACAGACCACCTAATTAATTAAGCAAAGTAATTAATCTAATTTAAGCAATAAACAGCCTCGGGAAGAGGGTCCAATGCGATGCGTGCTTGATTCTGCTCGGAAGTCACTGCCATGCACAAGCTGCTTCTGCTTTGACTGTTCTGCTTCTCTGAAGACTGCACAAGTCCCAGGGTTACTTCTCTGAGTCCTGTAGAGCACCACCGGCCGTGAGGAATAGTCACCGGCCATTTATGATGGTCACCGGCCACAAAATAATCCATCGGCCAAAAATAGATGGCCGGTCGGCACTTAAGATGGCCGACCGGCCAAAACTTCCTGTAAAAAACTGGTTTGACAGCAGCAGAGGACAGAACTTGGCATGGCAATGCATTTCAAGCAATGTATGCACCAACCACATTCCTTATCATATTTATGACTCAAAGGAGGATGGGCCTCGATTCTCGGGCCACCAATCACGCATTTCCATGCATGATGGCCCAAAGAATCAAGTGTGCATGTTGATATGGAATGCAATGCACATAATCAAGCAAATTGAACTCAACCTCTATCACAAGCAATTCAAGAGGTGAAGCATGCATGCAAATGCAATGCAATCCTAAGCATGTCGACTAGTATGCAACATGGACAATGCTAAGAAGCATACAAGGCATACAATGGTCATGCAAGACATAGGACATGAGACAATGCAACTAACAAGTATGCAAGACGCAATATGGATGTTCAAGCATGCAAGCAAGCATGTGGCTTCATTCAATCATGCAACAACACACTAGTATGCAACAACACACAAGGTGAGCATGCAACAACATGCAAAGGGGTGGACTTAAACTAATTTAGGCAGCCCTCAAAAAAGCCTAAAACAGTGGCCAAAATGATGCAACAAAGGCATGAAAACACACACACAAATATGCATCAACAAGGGCCTAAACATGGAGCATAAGCCATCAACTCTTCAAAGCATGAAAGGGATGGAAAATGCAAGCATATAAGCACATCATGAGGTCTGAAATAACATACCAAGTGATTCCAAACCACTGAAACAAAGCAAGGATGGCATGCTAGAGAGGCCAAAGCTTAAGGCATTCAAGAGGGATTGCATGGTAGCTATACAAAGCAAGACATGAATGACTCAAATGACCTAAAACAGTCCCTTAGCACAGTTCAAAATATGTATGTAAACTTCACAAAGCTTGGCCAAAACAATGAGCATGTAGTCTAAATGCTATGCATGTATTGAGGCAAATCATGGCATTACAAGGCATGTATGCTAAGCAAGCATGGTGTACGAAAACCAACTAAAATAGAGCTATATCATGACATAATAAGCATAAATATCAGTCAAGGCATGGCCAACATGAACCTAAACATGATGCTCACTAAAGAGGCAAAAATGGCCTTTCAAGGACAACAAGGAGAGGGGTGGCCCTCTCCTTCTTAGGAGCTCAAGGTACCATCCTTATCATTGGAATCCCTCAAGATTCAGTGGTGAGAAAGCCAATACATAAGAGTAACCAAAGCCTAACAAAAGAGCACAAAAAGAGGCCAAAAGAGGCCTAAGAAGGGGAGGTCGGCCCCAAACAACCAAATGACCTGAATGAAAGATCTCAAACATGAAAATACAAGACTTTTTTCAATTAAAAAATACTTTTCACAGCAAGCAAGGTAAGAAAAAATCTAGTTCAATATTGGGGAATCTAAAGTAAGAATGTTACCCTTGAAGAACCCTTGAGGAACAGCAAGATCAGCCACCTTCCTATTATCAAAACCAGTCCAAAAACTCAAGAACAAACCCTCTAAGCCTCTCAAGGTCGAAGTGTTGTGTAATGGTGTGTGTCTTAGTGCAAAACTAAGGTCAAAACACACTTTTAGGCCACAAAACACACACAAAAGAGGAGAGGGAGGGAAATATATATATATATATATAGAGAGAGAGAGAGAGAGAGTGATGTATATCAGAATATATGTATAAGCTCTGGGTTTTTTCATTCAACCCCCAACAATGGAGGAGGGGGGCTCTATATATAGACAAAACAAAGGTTTGAAGCTTCTCAAAGAAGCTAAACAAAAAAGGGGGCAAAGGAGGCAAGGCTTCCTGAGGAAGCTAGGACAGCTGGCAAGCTTCTTGAGGAAGCTTTGACAAAGGGTCAAGCTTCCTCAAGAAGCTTTGACCAAAAGGGTGCAAAAAGGGAAAAACAGCCACATGTATGCCCCGGGGCAGGTTTGGTGTATTCCAGCTGGCACAGCTGGCATGAACCATGCCTGAAAAAGGTAAAAAGGTGCTACCGGCCAGAAAAGGAGGTCACCGGCCAAATAGATGGCCGGCTGGCCGGCCATACTGAGTGCCGACCGACCAATGGTATAATTCACCAATGGCCAGTAGCCTCAAAACATGGCCGGTGGCCTCAAACCAAGGCCGGTGGGTGCCAGGGGTAGCTAACAAGCTACTTTCTACCCTCAGAAGCAAAAACAAAAGTGTTTGGTGCAAAACCAAACACAGAACAGTCGAGTTGAGAGATCCTGAGGCAAGGCGCGTAGCCGAGACCTCCGGGAACTCAAAACGAAACACAAACACGAGTAATCACCGAGTGTTCGAGCGGTGACGTCCAAGTCTTGAGGACGGTGAAAAATGGGGTGTCTACAGGTATGCACTACTCAAACACAATAGATATGGGCACCCTATGTAATCTCACAATTTCATTCACATATATGTTAGCCAATTTGTCAACATTATAAAAAGTTTTCACAAGCAGAAAGTGAGCAGATTTAGCTAAACGATCAACAATGACCCAGATAGAATCCATACCTCTTGAAGAACGAGGTAATCCAACAATGAAGTCCATCGTAATATGTTCCAATTTCCATTTTAGTATTAAGAGCAACTGAAGTAATCCAGCTGGTCGTTGATGTTCAGCTTTCACTTGTTGGCAATGCAAACACTTGGCTACAAAATCTGCGATACACTTTTTCATTCCAGGCCACCAAATTTTTTTTTTTCAAGTCATGGTACATTTATGTATTTCTTGGATACATGGCAAATTGAGAATTGTGAGCTTCTGTCATAATATGCTTGATCAGTTCAGAATGCTCTGATACACAAAGGCCTTAGTTTTGATTCAATTTCATCAACAACCTTCTTCAGAAATTCATTTTGTCGTTGCTTTGCTTTAACTTCTTCAAGTATAGCTAGTTGTGCAGAAATGACGGCTAAAACTCCACACTATTTATGCAAAACAACTTCAATTTCATTTCTTTCCAGATCACACAACAACTCTTTCTGGCCAGTGGGCAAACATGATAAATTTCCAATGGATTTTCGGCTCAAAGCATTTGCAACTGTATTTTCCTTTCCTGGATGGTACGGAATTTGCAAGTCATAATCTTTAATCAACTCGAGCCATCTCTTTTGTCTCACGTTTAATTCTTTCTGAGAAAAGAAGTATTTTAGACTTTTATGATCAGTGTACACTTCACAAGTCACTCTATATAAATAATGGTGCCAAATTTTCAAAGCAAAAACCACCACTACAAGTTCCAGATCGTGGGTTAGATAATTCTTTTCATATGGTCAGAGTTGTCGTGAAGCATATGCAATTACTTTCTTATTCTGCATTAATACACACCCTAGGCCTTTGTACGAAGTGTCACTATAAATCTGATACCTATCTGTACCATTAGGTAGAGTCAGAATTGGTGCAGTCACCAGTCTAATATTCAATTCCTGAAAAGCGAATTCCCTCTTATCATTCCAATCAAACGGTACATTTTTTTGTGTCAATTGTGTTAGTGGCATGGCAAGTTTGGAGAAGTCTTTTACAAATCTTTTGTAATAGCCAGCAAGCACCAGAGAACTTTTAACTTCAATCACAGTGGTTGGTCTTGGCCAGTTCATAATAGCTTCAAATTTTTGCGGGTTAACTGATATGCCATCCTAGTTGATTACATGTCCCAGAAATGTCACACTGTTTAGCCAGAACTCACATTTGGACAATTTGGCATACAATTTCTTTTCTCTCAAAATCTGTAGCACAATTCTTAAATGATCTTCATGTTCTTCCCTGTTTTGAGAATATATTAAAATATCGTCAATAAACACAATAACAAACACATCAAGGAATTGTTTGAACACCTTATTCATTAGGTCCATGAATGTTGCAGGTGCATTAGTTACCCCAAATGGCATTACTAGAAACTTATAGTGTCCATATCTTGTTTGAAAGGCTGTTTTCTTAATGTCTTCTGTCTTAACTTTCAATTGATGATAACCGGATCTAAGGTCAATCTTAGAAATGACTTGGAACCCCTAAAGTTGGTCAAACAAATCATCTATTCGGGGTAGTGGATATTTGTTTTTCACAGTCACTTTATTCAATTCTCAGTAATCTATGCACAACGTTAAGGTTCCATTTTTCTTCTTAACAAATAAAACTAGAGCATTCCAAGGTCGAGTGCTCGGTCGGATAAACTTTTTATCTAACAGTTCTTGAAGTTGGACTTTCAATTATTTTAGTTCAGAAATTGATATTTTGTATGGGGTTTTGGAAATAGGTTGTGTTCTAAGTAATATCTCAATGATAAATTCAATTTCTCTATTAATCAAATCACCGGGTAGTTCATTTGGAAACACATCGGGAAATTCATTGACTACAGGGATGTTCTCTACATTAGTGTTATCTGTGGGCATAGTCAATACACAACACAAATAACCCCGACATTTCTTTTTCAATAGTTTATTAGCTTTCATTGCAAAGATCAAATATGGGAGATGAACTACCCCATTCCCAATAAACACAAACTCAGGCAACCCAGGTGGCCAGAACACAACAGATTTATTCATACAATCTATAGTGGCATGATACTTGGTCAACCAATCCATTCCCAATATACAGTCAAAATGATCAAGACTCAAAGGCAGTAGGTCAACATACAATATCATATCACCAATCACAATATCACATGCTGGATAAACATAAGCACATACCATAGAACCCCCAGATGATGTAGAAACAAATAATAAACAATTCATAGATTCTAAGGATTTAGTCAACTTTCGTGAGAAAGCATGTGATACAAAGGAATACGTAGAACTAGAATCTATCAACACATAGGTATTCTGAGCACAGATAGGAATTATACCTGACACTACTGAGTTAGTGCTCTGCACATCACCAGGCACAAGTGTAAATACTCGACCTTGCCTTAAAGTTTCTCTCCTAGTATTGGTTCGCACATTTGATCTTGGTGCAGAAGCGGATTCGGCTGAACTTGTCGTAGAACGGTTGGCATTATCGGACCTAAGCAGACAATCTTTTATTATGTGGCCAGTTTTTCCACATCGGAAACAAATACCAGTTGCACGATAATAGACACCCTTTTGTTTTCTTCCACATTCAAAACAAACAAGTGTAGACCCACTACTTTGACTTGAGCTGCTAGTAGACCCTATGTTTTGCTTCTTATTCATTGCAAATAAGCGGCCCTTTCTGAAATTGTACCCAAATCTTTTGCCTCTCCATTCAGTTGTTGGAGCTTTAGTTTGTTTCATAGCGGCCAAGTTAGCTTCTATCTTCATAACTCGGTCAAGTACATTCACATATTTAGGCAATTTCAATACACCAACCCAATCAAACACATCCAGATTCAGTCCTCCTTCGAATTTTCGAGCTTTCTTATAATCTGTGTCCACCATGTGTGGGGAAAATCGGGCTAACTCAATAAATTTGGCTTCATATTCAGCCACAGGCATGCTACCTTGCTTTAAGGGTTCAAACTCGAACACCTTTCGGTCTCGGAAACACTGAGGGAAGTATTTTTCGTAGAAGATCTCTCTGAATTGATTCCAAGTTAAAGCCCCATTATTATCTCGGATAAGCATCCACCAACGTCGGGCTTCGTCTTTCAAAGTGTATGTGGCCAATATAACTTTTTGAGTTTCAGAACATGGAAACACTTCAGACAGTTTCTTGATTTGTAACATCCAAGTCTTAGCCTTTAGCAGTTCAATTCCCCCAAAAAGGTTGGCGGTTTCATTTTGTTGAACCTTTGAGTCAAACTGATGATGTCATTGTTCATCGATTTGAATTGTACCAGGGAAGGCGGAGGAGGCAAAGGTTGTTGTCTTTGCTATTATGTCATTGATTATGCTAAAGCTTTAAGCATTCTTTCCATTCGATCCATCCGAGCATCAGATGATTCAGATACATCATCACTTCTTATATTTTCCATTTGCTATAGACAAACAGGACAATAATAAACATAGGCAAATAATCTTCACAGTTTCACAATGGTCATATTCAGTTCAGATATGTTTATGTCATTTCACTTTAGTTCAAATATGTTCAGATAATTCACACACACACTCACACATGTAGATGCAATGTTCCTAATTCTATTCTAAGACATCTTACAGCTCATATGGACTTGTGTGTACAGTATAACTCGTGCTCTGATACCACTCTGTCACGACCCAAACCCGCCCCTATAGATTTAGCACCGGAACTGGCCAGTAATCCTGGGATTACCGAAGGCCTCTGAATAGATTAAACAAAACTAAAGGGCTAATGGAAGCAAATATCAGAATATAATGTCCATAGAGCTTTGTAAACATACATAAGACATAAAATTTAAAACTTAATTTACATCATTATAACGTCATTCTCGCGTCACCACACATATACAGATAAACAAAAAGGCATGTTCAGACTTAAACAAAAGAAAACATAGGTCTTAAACATAGTTCACAAAACTTGGCCACTTCTCAAAACGGGAACCTCTTCGGGAGGCACAATGGCTAGCAGACAGAACAGATATACAGGCAATTATCACTGAGCCTAGTCACATACCTAATCACCTACATACATAAATAATACAGTGAGCTAATGTCTTCATATTTAGAATTCAGAATTCACAGATAGTCATACGTGGTATATCCATTAACACTGACAAAATAGATGGCCCATAATTATATGGGACGTACAGATGACCCATGATCACATGGGACGATCAAATACAGAGCAGATAATGGTTATGCTTAACTAGTGCCATGATGGAACCACTAGTACCGGGTAACAGATAATAGATATCACATGATGCTAAGGATGCCATGAATATGATTCAGAAATTCAAACAATTATTCATTCATATAGAATATGCCATTTTAGAAAATTGACCATATCATATTATTTAGAAAATATTTAAAGATGAACATAACTTTACAGATTTGTTACTTACAGATAGCTCCAGTAACAGAGCAGATAGATCAAACAATGTATGGAATGTGACCTACACAAACACATAACGAATACACATTGAAACACACACTCAGAAAATACATAACTTATTTCTTTTATATCTTTGTGTGTTTTTAATCCTTATCCTCATTATTATGTCTTAATTAAGGCTTAGGAATGCCTAGGAAACAATGAGAATGTCAAAATATACTTTGCAACACTTAGTTAAATTTTCAAAAACAGGACAGTTCGCTTGAGCTCAACTTCCTTCGCTTGAGTAGACCTTTTGGTCTGCAAAATCTCTGAGAGCTCTCATTTTATGCTCAAGCGCTACTCCCTTCGCTCGATCCAAGATTCAAAAATAAGGTTGGTCACTCGAGTGCAACTTTTATCGCTCAAGTCAACCCTCAAACTTTGCAAAACTTCTAGGAGCTTGCATTCTTCGCTTAAGTACAAATTCCACCACTTGAGCGAAGAGTGTGAATTTTGGAATTTCTAGATTGCTCTGTAAGCTCCAAACTTCAATTCCAATGCATCAAAACTAATTCTTGTGGGCCAAAACTTGAGAAAACACTTGTAAACTTATAAAACATGATGAATTAAAGATCATTTCACAAAATCAAGGCCCAAAAGCAAGCGAAATGTTCAAAGTCAAACTTGAAATGTACATATGTATATATAACATGCATGCAATCCTTTGAATGTAAACCCTCCAAACAATGATCAAATAAAGTAAAATGATGGAAAACATGATAAATTCCCAAAACTAAGAGAGAATTGTTACATGCATGAGAGAATTTCTTAGAAAACATGCTTAAAATGCAATGAAATGCACATGCATGCATGAATTGATTCCCAAGTCTACTCTTTAGCTTATTTTTTGTCGTTAATCTCTAATTTTCTTGAGTTCATGCATTAAACAACTCTATTACACAATCAAAAGGGTGAATTCCTACCTTAAGCCTTGAATTCTCAAGTGTAGAATCTTAATCTTCCAAAATCTTTCTAATCTCACCAAGTCTCCTTTAATTCTCTCTTTTTTGATCTCTCTCTCTCTCTCTCTCTCTCTCTCCACGTTTTATTGAGCTCAAGGGTGACAAAATGGATTCTAGAAGCTATATTGGCCTTATATAGGTCCAATTAGCTTAAGCTAATAAAGTATGGTTAAGTCAAGTCAAACTAACTTAATTTAATCTAATTTATTCTAATTATTTGGTTCCGAATTAGATTTTAATTAAACCTATCATAAATTTCAAAAAATTCCAAATTGCACATTAACCTAGATAATTTCATGATAGGATGCCGATAAGGCCTTCAGTTCGCATACCGAAACAGAAATACAAACATATATTCTTACCATGGACAGATATAAACACAAGTAACACAAATCACAAGCAATTAACTCAGATTTTCATCTTAATTACTCATTAAGCATTCTTAATCATGGTTTATTGACTAATCACATATCGAGGTTGTTACAGGGAGAGATTGTTAGGTCCTTGTTTTTGGTAATCCCGTGTGATAAACACTTTTGAATTGTATTTTTATTGAGTTCTGAGTGTTGCTTGTTACCATGCTTGATTAGTTTTTCTTCAGTTTTAGAACTCTTGCTTTTTGGCCTGTAACATTAATCAAGGACCACTCTAGTAGTCAAGTAAGTGCTCGAGCGCTAAATAGACCCATCCAGTATTTTCAGTTTGACGTCTGAGATACTGGGAGGTTTCATTTACCGCTCGAGTGAGCATTCTTGCGCTCAAGCGAAGTGACAAGTGGAAGTTTGTTAGCATTGCCTTTCTAAACACACCGCTTGAGCGCTTATTCCTGTGCTCTAGCAGTCATCGCAACTCTGGATTCTTTAAACCACCTCAGATGCATAATTCAAGGTTTAACGTTTCCAAATTTCTCTCTGAATATGAAAACCAATAGATCTATCTCATAAAGAGTTGATAGTGGATTTCTCTTTTTGAATTGATGATGATTGTTACCCATCATGGATTTGATTGAATACATCAAAAGGCTTTGGTTGAATCTACCTTCCTTTGCGTTCAACTGGTGGAATCTAGATTGAGTTGGAGTTTGCGGATTCAAGATCAACAATGAACAATCATGGGTGAAGAGTGCATGATGAAAATGTTCTAGAGTCTCCAAGTGTTTGTGTGGATTCGTAGGTGGTAAGCTTGGTGAGGTTTCTTGTAATCTTCGTATTCTCTTCCTAGTCGATTTGTTCACCCTTCTTGGCTTGTGGTTTTTGTTTTTTGTTTTTTGTTTTTTTCACAATTGGAGTTGTCCAATTATGGTATTTTTCCTCGTTAAATCTTTGTATTGCATTTGTGGACTGCTTAGAGATAATCTAAATCACTTTTGTATTGACTTGATGATTTAGATTATTGTCTAATTTAGGAATTGCTATAAATTGTTCATAATTAGCTCATAAATCATGAATCACATTACACAGGTTTTTCAGAGCTCCTCACACTAATGCAAGCTCTTCCAAGCTGCAGTTAGGACCAAGCACTTGCAATAGCACAACCGTTACCATTAGCAGGAATATTAGAGAGAGATCAAGAACTCAAAAAAAAAAATAATAATAAATAAATAAATAAGTGTAATTCAAATTCATTTTAAGTGTGGTTTTCAAAAAAAAATACAATGTAGACCACATATTGGTTTTTCTTGCTACTTTTATGTGTCGGAATTCTTGATTTTTAGTGTTAACTCTTGTGCAGTATTTGGTTGAAGAATTTAAAAAGATATTTAGAAAAAAAAAATATATATATATATATATATATGTGAAACAATATATTTTATTTATATTTTACTTATCTTTTTTCTTTCTCTTTCAAAATTCTTTCTCAAATCTTCTAACCAAGCAGTGTTACTGAACTAGCCTAGAGGACTTGCTATACAAACAGATAAAAGCTGTGGCTTTTGAGAAACAGAACAATGGTGTGAAATGTCAACTACACTTCATCATGAAACCAAAACGAAGTAATTTAACAAACTCCACCCAGAAATATATAGAAAAATATGACTGAATCATACACAATAATATCTCCAAACAAAAAGCAAATGCACTGACTGACTCATTCCACCAGTCAGTAAATTCTCCCAATACCCTTCATCGCCAAGCTTCAACCCGCTCTGTTCTTGAATTTAAACGGCTAACAATGCTGGCTCCCCTGCTCTTCTCCACTTGCCTTGCCACCTGACCCACTGACCGTTCATTAATAGCTCTTTTGGGTCCTTTCTTGACATTTGAATAACTTGACTGCCCAGTTTTCTTCTTCTGAGTGTTTTGTTTAGCTTCTCCATTTGTACTGCTACAACCACCATCCTCAAGTACTTGATTTGGGCAGTTTTCAACCGAATGCCCCTTTCCACCAGGAATGATATTCTCAATGGAGTTTAAAAAACTGTGAGCTTCGTTTTCAGTTTTCAAGTCATGATCAATTTGGTGCTGAGAAGGGCTTTCCGAGAAGGGTTCAGTGGCCACGAGGACTTGCTCGTCTTCATTCACCGCATCAGCCTCCTCAAATAATGGCTGGGAAGAGCCCTGGTGCCCATTCTCATCAGAGGGTTCTACGTGGGATGGAGGAGGTTGTTCGAGTATAAAGTCTTCTCTTTCTCTTATTGTCTTGATAATTAGAGTTTTGAGAAAATTCATCACTTGGACCGCATGCATTAATGCTGTCAAAGGATCTGCCATCTGCAATCAGCAGTAAGTTCGTTCATAAATATGTCATTCCACTACAAACTAAACTGACCATGAGATCATAGCCATTCTTAGTGGTGAAGATATCAGTTCAATAATGACTGCTCCTCGATAAACTGAAATCTATGAAGCATAGATACAGATATGGGATACAAATACAATACAATATAGATACAGTGATACAACAAAATTTTAAGAAATAGGATTCTGGTCTGGCCAAGATACATTGAAATTTGTTTATATAAAATTTTCAGTATTATATTATACAAGTGCTCAAAGAATAGTGAAATACTATTTTTTTGGAATTAGATAAGTGCCAATAGTAAGTCAACTCTTTTTTCAGTGGATACATTAATTGATACAATCTGAAAAAGTAGAGTACTATTATAATCTTTACTAATTTCTTCTTCGATAAGCAATAAGAAATATTGAAAAAGTATTCTAGTATTTATTCAAACAATTATACTCAAATAATATGAAAAATAATTATAATTTCAATTTCATGATAGTTTAGATATGTGACCCAAAGTGTTTGAAAAGTAATTGGATATGTTTCGGAAGATCAAATACGTATTCTCAAGTACTAGAGGAGTATCAGTGTCCAATACACGTATGATACAAACATTACCCCCACGGCTTTAAAATGATTCATTACGTGAAAGAGATGTGAACTCACTAATATAGCCATGACCTTTTCCTACTTAACGGAAATGCAACGGAATGTTGCAGTTGGAGCCATGTCCTAATAACCATAACCTCCAAGAGAAGTTGGAAAACTCAGATATCACAACTGCAGCAGAAATATTATGAATGTCATTTGCATGTGTAACGGTTCTCACTCACCAGGGTCATGTTTGGTGCAAACACCATAGCAATATTACGAGCATTCATTTTGTTTAAATGTTCCAACTGAGCTACATCAGCCATTAGGTTTATTGCCCAGTCCAGAAGAGAAGCCTCCGTTGGTGGAAGGCACTTCACAAGCTGAGCACACTCTTCTTCTGACTGAGCTTGCATTACCTCTTCCGGAGGGAGAGAGTCCAACAGCCCATTTGGGAGTTCTCGAAACCAAGCCTACAAAAACACCAAAACACTTGCAAATTAGAGCTAACTACCGGGGATGTTTCCTCCAAAAAAAGAGCAATGCTACACACAAAATCTGTACCCAATAGTCGCTTTGGATATGAATTGTATAAAAGCTTTCTTTGTAAATTATTTTCCAGTGAAGCGTGCTTCTTAGTGCTCTAAAAGTTCAATAAATTTCCTGAGTTGCCAGGGATGACAAAATTATTAGTATTTGCAATATAAAACCAAATTCTTACTATGAAATTTAGAATGTTTTGTATTCCTTTCCAGCACTCAAGTTGTATACATCCTGGTCATTAGATCTACTATCGTTTGTTAAGTGATTATAAAATTTGTTAATTAGCCGCTTCTTTTATTTGTTTGTTGCTGTCGTCGTCTCATTGTAATGCAACATTATACTATACAACATGATATTATTGGAGTGTGTACTCATTGAATTAGAACCAAGACCACATACAAAATTTCATCTCTCTGCTAACTAGAATTAGGAAAGCCAGCAAAATGTCAAGCCCAACCTTAAACTTTTGATTATATAGTATAATTACAAAATTGGATTTGGTAATGGTGATCTTCAAAATTTTTAATTTTGTAACTTTTAGAATGGGAATAATAATAAAAATTAGAGATAATATAATATATTACAGATAAAAATTTAAGATTAATGAGAGTTAAATATGTAAATTGAAAAATAAATAGTGAAAATGAATGTGAAGTGTAATAATTTTATTATTTTAATCTTATTATATTGAAAAAAAAATTAAATTATATGTATTATGTACATATAAATATATTTAATAAATATTACCCGGGCAAGGCAGAAAAACCCTCCCCACCCCACTTCCTCATCGAAGTGGGAAAAACCCACGCAGGTGGGATGGAGGAAGTGGGGGTGGAGTGGGCCAGGGCAAAATTGACAACATTGTTTCATATGTTAAAAACATGCATTATTGAAAATGTTATTACAGAAGTTAGTCCGATAAATCCTTATTACTTTCCAGTAAGTAATCTAATAATTGATTAAATATTTTCAACCTTTTTCATGTGCTTGTTGCATCATGGGGTATCCAGTGAGGTGATAAGGCCAAAACATTGGCCCCCTAAGCTAGCAGCTTCGTGCTTTGATATATAAATGATGGGTTGGTGAGAGGAAAACTAGTGAATGTATGAGGCAACCAACTTCCTGATTCCACAATAAATCTCCCCCAACAACAAAAGCTACGAAGATTAATTGCAAAAAAACAGAAGAACTACATTTATGCTTATAAATGATGGGTTGGTAAGAGGAAAACTAGTGAATGTATGAGGCAACCAAATTACTGATTCCACAATAAATCTCCCCCAACAACAAAAGCTATGAAGATTAATTGCAAAAAAACAGAAAGAACTACCTTTATAAGGCCTGCCAAGCAGTGTACATCAATGTCATGTGGCACCACTCCTGTATTCAATTGCTCCCTAACATACTCTTCTTGGCTGTTCTCCGCATTAATTCTGAAGATTCCTTCTGCCTGCACCATCGAAGTTCAAAGATCACAAGTTTTGTACATGAGAAGCCTGTCCACATGAAGAAAAATGCCAACAATATACATGTAAAAAGTATATAGAAATATGTAAAAGAGTTTGGAAATATGTGAAAAGTGCATTAGGATTCTAAGTAGTTTGGCATTATTTCCACATTATTGACAACGTTGTGCGCTGTCGTTAGGATGACCCTAAACAGAAATGCCTTAGGGTGGTAGTTTATGGGAAGAAGGCGGAGAAAAGATTTTGCAGTCTCACATACCTGCAGCCCTCCTTGTGCATATAAGCGGCTCTGCATCATCAGAAGTATTGTAGGCACACTGTTTCCTCTAGAGTCAAATGAAAGTTGCATGGACTCTGTTGATACTCCAAAAACACTTGTACTACAGATGAAGGATCTTAAGTCAATTAAGGACCATTAACATATCGCATTGTCAATATTTCAATCAGGAATCCCAAATAAGCTATGTAATAGAAACTACTATGAGGAATTGAAAAAAAAGAGATGCAAGAATATCGTTGGATTCTAATAAAAAGATACCAAAGAAATCAAATAAACAGAAAATGTGTACTAATTGTCTTTTCCTTTCATTTGCATTGGGGTGTAGGGGGCGATGGGGGAGTAAATATTGGATGTAATGGTGGTACCACGTGGTGGTATCACTATCCAATGAATAATCTTACTTTGCGGTAGGGACCACATCATTGTCACGAAGACCTATTTTAAGTGCACAATGCGTCAATAGGAATTCTAATATATTACTTAGTTTTAGGATTTTGTTTCTAATTTATTTCTTTCTAGCTTTTTCATCAATAGATGTAATCCTCACCTTTCAGTTTTGAGCAACTAACCATTCTTATTGCATTCATTGCATCTTTAATCAACATCCTTGCTCGTGTCCCTGTTTCTTCCGTAATATCATTTTCCTTTTGAAGAATTTTTTCAAGAGCATTTGAGATTCTTTATCTTCTTTGCACCCTTTTATGAAAAGTGCCTACAAAACACTCTAATCTCAACAATATCTATAGGCATGAAAGTTGTCATCCTTTTGCTATGTTGGATGCTTTTTTCTTCTTCTTCGTTTGTGGGTATGTTTTATAAAAGGATACGCAGAAAGGGGAAAAAAAAAAAAAAAAATCTCAAATGCCCAAAAAAAAAAAAAAAAAAAAAAAAAAATCCCCAAACTAAAAAAAAAAAAAAAAAAGAAAAAAAAAAAAGAAGAAGAAGAGAGGATATTATGGAAGAAATAGGGAGATCAACAAGGCAGGCAAGCGAAGCAAATTAAAGATGCCATGAATACATCATGAATGGTCAGTTTATTGGAGCTTCTAGTTCAAAGCCAAAAGGAAAGTACTACATCAATTGATGAAAAAAAAGAACTAAATAAAATTAGACACAAAAACCTAAAACAAAATCTACTAAAATATTAGGGCTTCATGGTGACACCTCTTTAGCCTAAAATAGGTCTTCATGCCTCCCCTTGATCCCCATCATTTCTTCCCGTCTGAAAAGGACTCTACTCAAGAGAGTAATGACTAAGATAATGCTCTAAAACTGTGGGATCAAGTCAACGGAACTCATCCTCTATAATCCACTTGTCATCAGTGTTTGGGCAATTTTTCCAATCTCATAAGATAGTGATGATATCCACGATTGGAAGAACCCACATCCCGAGTGTAAAAAAGATAGTGAGAGAGATGAGAATCTTGTAGATACACATGTCCCTCTTCCTCCTTAGATTCTAAAAGGCTAACAATCTGGTCAACATCATCTATAAATTTCTCTAGCTCATGATCAATGGTTAAGGTGCGATGCGGACAACTAGCTACAATGTGCCCATAACCTCTGACAATTATGAAATACAACAGAGGAAGAAGCCTGCTGATAACTAGAGAAAGAGGAACTCTCTACCCTTGGTATTACTGACACTAGAGTTAGCAATGTTGCCAGGATTTTGTTTATAATTTTATTTATTTATGGTTTTTTCCCAATTTCTTTATTTGGTTGTAGAACATGTATGGGGATTGTGTAAAAAAGATATTCACGATATGGTCATTTTTAAAAAAATAAATTCATCCCTAAACTATCAATGTCATCTCTTTAGTTCTGAGTTTTTCTTTTATTTCAATTCATATGTCCGCGCAGAAACCTAACCTAATGAGCCAAAATTTAATTTTACACTTTGACCAATCTAAACCATACAACCAAATTTTATCAATTTAGTTTACTGATTTCAGTATATGTCCATGTGGAAACTAACCCAATGGATCAAAAACTAATTTTACAATTTGGACAACCTAAACCATTAAATTAACCATCCATCTTTAAACTCACAATATTAAACAACTTATACTCTACAACCAAATACCCATATACATATTCTTAATCCCTCATTTCAAAATAGTGAAAAATAAACAAATAAATAAGAGTTTAATTGTATAATTCAAGTGTTCAAATTTTGAAATAATTTTTTTTTTCTTCATCAAATTAGCTTATAGTTGAAATTAAAATATTTCAGAACTAAAAATAGATGAAATTAATAGTTTAACTATGAAATAAAAGAAAATGAGGATGGTTTTTGAGATAAAAGTGTATAAATCTAGTAGCTATATATTGAACACAGAAGAGATGAAAACCAACCTGGCACTTGGGGGTCGCCTAGGAACTTCAGGTTCAAACTCAACAGGAAGGCCAAGAAACCCATTGAATCGATCAAAGGTTACATGGGCTACATGTCTCACATTTGTAGGTAACCCAATCTCCATTGAAGAAGAAGAAGAAGAAGAGAACTCTTCAACTCCACTACTCTTGCAAGCAATCAATGACTTCCTAAACACAGTCACCAAAATGGCCAACAGTGACACCTGATCTCCCTCCTCCTCCTCCTCCTCTCTCTGCTTTCTCTCTCTAACCCCTCTTTCCTCTCCCTCTGTATCTCCCCTGTATACAGCTACAGAGTATGAAGTTGTGGGTATGTTAAAAAGGACAGGTTCATGGGTCTGTTGTTGGTGTAACCCATCATTGTGTGTGGAGCTTGGAGATGAAGATTGTAGAATTTCAGTCATATTTTACAAAAATGCAATATAATAGTAAATATTTATATGCGGGTGGTTTCTGTTTGGATGGAGGGAGGGAACACTCTAAAGAGAAAGAAAATGAATTGATTGGTTTTTTTTCAAGATGGGTAGGTAGATTAGCAGATTACAAAGGGGAATGAACTGGGGGCATATGAATGAATGAATGAATGGCTGACACACTTTTCTTTGGGGTTGGGAGGAGAAGAGTAGAGTTGGATTGAAGGAAAGGTAGTGGTTGCTAGTGAGAGGTGAACATCATCATTTTTTTCTTTCTAATGCTTTATACATACACATGTACAGATATATATGTATACAAACATATACATACATATACACATACCAAATACATTTTTTCTATGCCTGCCTGGCTTTGCTTTTGAGAAGCAAGGAGAGTTGGGAAAGAAAGCAGAGAAGAGAGAGATGGAGAGACAAGATTGGGCATAATCAGAGAGGAAGTAGAAGGTTTTTTTTTTAATTATTATTTTTTATTTTCAGCTCTTCAATAATTAAATCTTTTAGAAAATTATTTGTGATTTTAAAAAGTATTTATAATTCTACTTATAATGATGTAATAGGATATATATTAATTTTTAATTTGTTATATACTTAAAGATAATAGGCTTAAGCTGTATATCACATTATTATTAATGAATTAAATAAGTGTAATTTTTAACTTTTTGTAAAAAAATAAAAAGTGATATGACAAAAAAAAAAAAAAAAGTACTTGTTAATTTATGCCAAATCACCCCTAAAGATATGAATCTCTAAATTGTTCTTTTATTTTTTTTGACAGTGTTACATTTTCAAAAATTTGTCCCACAAAATTATTTCGTCAGCAATTTCTTACTCGTAACAAATCACTACTACAGTGTGAGTGAGTACGGAGGTGCCATGTTAGACGGGTGTTTTTATAAAAGAAATTTGTGGGAATAGATTTTTTTTTTTACAACAATGGCTTTGTTTGGGAAGTTGTTATTTTAGTAGGTTATTTTAGTTTTTGACTATTTTAGTAGGCTAAAATTTTTGTGCTTAGAAAAATGATTGGATTTTTTATGGTTGGATGTGATGTTTGTGAGAGAAAAAGTGAAATGATTATGGGTTTGATGTGATATTTTGTCTTATTAGTTATTTTAACCTATTTTATCTTTTTGTGAATTTTAGCCTAAATTGGGCTATTTTTTTTCTTCCCAAACACCCCCATTGTTTGAGACTCTTATTTTTTGGTGTGAGCTCTACACATATATGAGTGAGTCTCATACATATATCAATAGTTAAAATTCAAAGAGAGTTATGAGGTCTTCAAAAAAATAAAAGTCATAAGCATTTTTCTTTTTTTATTTAAGTTATTTTTACTTAATAAATTATAAATAAAAATTATAGCCAACACAAATTTGGATGGCTCTATTTGCACCCGAAAAGATTGATTGAACATTGCAATACTTTAGACACCCCAATCCAAAATTTGAAATTTATTCTATTATTTTCAACACTCTAAACAATATCTATTATATTCTCAAAAATCTCAAAAAGATAGTATATCCCACAAATTAAATAGTCTCCCAAATCATCCAAATGTATGGAAATACATAACCAAATATTTTTATTTTTTTCGAATACTCAATGTTGAACAAAATTGAATTTATTTGCAAATTTTTTTGGTTCTGAACACATGTAATTTACTTGGAAATATAATACAAGATAGTTCTTTTTGTTTGAAATTGAAATGTGAAGAAATTAAAAAATTAAATGTTTGGAAATACTGAGCCGAGCATAAACAATTTGTTCAAATATTAATTGTTATTTTGGATATGACTTATTTTTAAAAAAAATTATTTATTACGAAAAGACATGTTAAAAAATAAAAATATAATAGGATAGAAATAAGCCAATAATTAGCTTATTTGGGATGTTTAATGCCAAATCATTCGAAAACACAGTGTCAAATACATGATTTTTTCTTAGAAACAAATTTCAAAATAAATATAATTTGTTCGATACTAAATTTCTAAACAAATTATGAAAATCCATTGACCAAAAAACTATGAAAATGAAGAAAACCTACATTCTCTATAAAAATAAATAAATAAATAAAACCGCTTGAAAATGTTTTCCTTATTGGCCATTGTTGGTTTTAATAGGAATGCAAGAAAGATGAATTTATTGACCCATAAAAAGAATTATGGATTCAAAGGAAATAAGGTTTGAGTACAAAGATGTAGAGTGAAGAAAGTGAGAAGGGAAGAAAGACGGGAAGATTGAGATAAATTATGAAATGAGGTATCCAAAATAAGTATTTTTTTGATCATATTGAATAGGGACATAATATAATAATTTTTTTTAATAAGTTGATATGCAGTAATTTTATTTTCATACATCATTTATTTTTTGTGCACGTCACTTTTAACTGTACACACTTATAAATTTATTTATCTATTGTTTATTTATTTCTCATACCAAATGTTTCAAATATATCCCTTAACGTGTGGACACATCAACACAAAGACTGAAAAAATTATATATACATCACACAAAACATAAACTTAAATTGTACCCTATGCACACGATTTTCTGTTCCTCTCTGACAATTGAAGCTCAATAAAAGAAGAATTTGAAGCACGACATTCTCCGACATTCTCTGAGTATAAGATTTTTGAAAATCAACAATTATCAATTAGAATAATGTTTGGTAGCTCGAGAGATTGTCCCTCCGAATCTCCCTAATGTCCAAAACGACGTCGTTTTGGGCATTAGCCTTTTTTTTTTTTCTTTTTTTCTTTTTTTCCTCTATTTTCGAGTCTTCTTCCTTCCATTTTCCTTCGAGTCTGTAGAGGGAGAGAAAGAGAAGAAAGGGGAAGAGGAGGAGAGAGGGAGAAAGCTTGCCGATCGTCGCTTGTGCCTCCACCATCGCCGATCGTCAGCTCGCCGCCGCCGATCGTCGCAGCAGCAGCAGCTCGTCGCCTCCGCCGATCGTCAGCTCGTCGCCTCCGCCCCCAGCCCCCCCCCATATGGGGGACATGGAGTCCGGCCGGACATGGAATCCGCCGGACTAAAAAAAAATCAAACGACGGATAAGGAGGAAGGCTGGACATAGAGTCTAAATAGTGGATAGTCTCCCCTTATCCCCCAATCAACCACACCCAAAATGAGTTGTAGGATCTTCAAAAATTGAGGGCCTCGAGGTTTTTTTTTTTTTAAATAATTTTTACTTTATAAATTGTAAATAAAAATTGTACCCAACACAAATTTGGACGGCTCTATTTGCACGCGAAAAGATTGATTGAACATTGCAATACTTTAGACACCCCAATTCAAATTTTGAAATTTATTCTAGTTCCGTTTGGAGAGAGAAAAATTAGGTTTTTTTTTTGCTAAAATAGTCATAAAAAATAAAATAGACTATTTTAGCCACAAAAAATAAAACATCAAATCCAACCCATAATCATTACAATCCTCTCTTACAAAAAAAGTCAAAAAAGTCAAAAAAATAAAAAATCCTTCCCAAACCAGGTTAAAATAACTCAGGCTAAAAAAACCAAAAATTCAACCCACTTCCCAAAAACGGAGGCTCTGTTATTTTGAACACTCTAAACAATATCTATGATATTCTCAAAAATCTTAAAAAGATAGTATACCCCCACAAATCAAATAGGCTCCCAAATCATCCAAATGTATGGAAATACTTCCAAATATTTTTATTTTTTTCCAAATACTCAATGTTGAACAAAATTGAATTTATTTGCAAATTTTTTTTTGTTCCTGACCACATGTAATTTATTTGGAGATATAATACAGATAGTTCTTTTTGTTTGAAATTGAAATGTGAAGAAATTAAAAAATTAGATGTTCGGAAATGCTGAGCCGAGCATAAACAATTTGTTCATATATTAATTGTTATTTTGGATATGACTTATTTTTTAAAAAATTTACTTATTACCAAAAAAATGTTTAAAAAAATAAAAAAGATAATACGATAGAAATAAGCCAATAAAAAGCTTATTTGGGATGTTTCCAAAAGAGCTCTAAATACTTAATAATGCCAAATCATTTGAAAACACAGTGTCAAATACATGATTTTTTCTTAGAAACAAATTTCAAAATAAATATAATTTATTAAATACTGAATTTCTAAATAAATTATGAAAATCCATCGACCAAAAAACGATGAAAATTAACAGAAAACCTACATTCTCTATAAAAAATAAATAAATAAATAATAATAATAATGAAAAAAAAAACCTCTTGAAAATGTTTTCCTTATTGTCCATGGCTTATTTCAATGGGAATGCAAGAAAGATGAATTTATTCACTCAAAAAAAAATTATGGATTCAAAAGAAATTGTCACAACCCCATTTCGTCCCTAGTAGAATGGTGTCATGATGGCCAGTAATCCGAGATTACCAAAGGCCAACTTACAAAGATTCACACACAATCAGAGTATACATATGGAGCTTACATGTGCGGAAGCAATAAATTTAAATCTAAGTAGTCCGTAAGAGCTGTGCATAGATCAAATAAAATGACATACATCTTAACATGGTTTACAACTTGAATACAAATAAAATAAAGTACATACTATATCTTGATCAAAAGGCTTCTCAAGCCGACATATACAAAAGAAGTGAATTAAAATTAAGAAACATAATCTTCAAGACGATACAAAACATGAATCAAAACATCTTGCACATAACATCTTAGGCGTCACCGCCTTCATGCTCGCCACCTACATATATATAAAGGAGAGGGTGAGCTTGGATACTCAGTGAATGATATAATTAATAAAGGTTTGAATGAATGATATCTGAGATCTTTATCAAAACAATACATATCGTAGCTTGTAACAAAACATGGTATGAATCAAGTTCATCGATCAAATCTTTCAAATCTTCTTGGAATGTTTAACAACATCTACATAATACATGGGGGATGACATTCCGGATAAAACAAGAGAATAATCGACCCGGAATCGATTAGGCAAATCCACCCGCACAAGGCCGTTGGTGGGGCCATCCGTACAAGACCGTCGATGGCAGAGATCTCTCAAACATGATGCTA